ATGTGGAAACTAATTTGACAATAAACTATTTAAAAAAAAAAAAAAAAAAAAAAAAAGGGTGTTCTGAGAAAAGTACCTAGTTGCCATCAATCAGTCATAATTTAGGAGCCCCTAAATGTCTTATCCTACACTGTAATATGTAATTTCAGTGTCAACAGACTAAAATAGAACCATAAGATTTTGACTTAACAGCAGGCTCTGAGTAAACTGTCATATAAACAGACTGTAGTGTTTTGCAGGGAAAGAAGATCCATTTTAATATTTCTGTTTTGAATCAATACTTTGTTTTCCAGCTCTTTGAGATGATGAACCTGATTGCAAATCTTGGGAATGAAGACTTGCTCCAAACTAGAAAGTATAAGATTCTGAGTCTGGCCAAGGACCTGACAAATAGCGTGTCCCAAATTATATTTCTTGCGAGGGTAAAGCCAGAACCAGATCTGAGTTTGTCTAGTGGTTTTCCTCTCTCCATTTACTCCCGTCAGTTTCTGCTCAGGTCTAGATGCCTTTGCTAAGAACTGGATTTGCTTGGATCCGCTTAGACTTGGTCATTGGTCCTCTACACACTATTGTTTTAGCCTGAGTAACACTCCCCACCTCCCACCCCATTCCTTTCCTCCTCCCGTCTTGCTGACTATTCTTTTCCCTTCAAGTCAGTGTCCCTTTGTTTCCAGTGTCCTGTATGGTCACTGGACACTACGATGGTCATCTCATCCTCTTTTTGAAGGGAGGCTGTGGTCTTGGGACCTAACCTTTTCTTCTTCCCACTGTAAGGTCCAAGTATGGGCAGCAGTTCATTGTGAATATAGGGCTGGGAGTCAGGATAGGGGAGACCAAGGTTTAGTGAGGAACCCAAAACAGAGTTGGGCTGGACAGACAGCCTGGAACCAGTGGTTTTTTTTTTTTTTTTTAAATGTTTTATTTATTTCTGGAGAGAGAGAGAGAGACAGCATGAGCAGGGAAGGGTCAGAGAGAGAGGGGGTCACAGACTGAAACAGGCTTCAGGCTCTGAGCTGGCAGTCAGCACAGAGCCCAACGCGGGGCTCGAACCCACGAACTGCGAGATCACGACCTAAGCGAAAGTCGGACGCTCAACCGACTAAGCCACCCAGGCGCCCCTGGAACCAGTGGTTTTTAAAAAATTATAAATGTAATCCTTTGGGCCTCTGCTTGTCCTCTCTAAAATAAGGAACTGAAAAGCTCTTAGGGATTCTTTTTAGCGTTAAAATTCTATGACTTTTGAAGCTTTTTTACTGTTATTCAATCAGCAGATGCTCATTGAGGGCCATGTAGATTATAGAGAAATCTATTACCCACATGGAAAGATAAAATGACTGGAAACGATTAGAGAGCTAGCAAACCCTATAACCCCAAGTGGAGTGTAGGCTATAAGCAGAATATGAGTTGAGAGGAACTAGATTCCTAGATATCAGAGAAGTGCAGGTGCTGATGACTTGGACTGGGCAATAGATGACTGATAGGCTTTGGTTAGATAGAGGGCAAGACTTTGGGAAATATTTGAATCCAGATTTTTACATCTTCTGTATTGTATAGGTTCTCTTCTGTTTTCATCCAGAAATCCTGAGTTTATCTGTTGCCATTATTTGAGAGTCCTAATAACCCAGGTAACAGTTAACAGAGGGAAGGGGAGAAGGGCATACTTTTTCTTCTCTAATGTGTGTAAAGTGTCTGCCTGTGATGTGTGAGGTCCTCTGGCCAGGAGCAAAATTGACATTTCGCTGGCCTTGAGGTTGTTGAACTAATTATTTCAATTCTTATTTTCTATGCCCTTTGAAACTAGAGTTTGAGAGTCTAAAAAAGGAAGGAAAGCATTATCTGTTAGAAACATAAAACCAGCTCCTCACCCTCCTCCACAAAAAGGGAAGAAATAGGCCTTAGCTACTCTCCAAGGGGGGGAACATTCTTACATGGCTGGAAAATGTAGGCAGTACTAAGAGGAAGGGAGAAACCTCAATCCCAATTTTGAAAGCTTCCAGTGGGGGTGTGTGTGGGAGTGAGAGAGACAGTCACATATGTTCATGACTCTCCCTTGCTTCCTCTCTCCATAACTCCCTCCTCTGCCACACATTCTAACATCAGTCTCCTTTCCTCATTCATTCTAATGTACACATGACTCCTGAAACCAATACTACACTGTATGTTAACTAACTTGAATTTAAATAAATAAATTGATTAAATAAAAAAATATGCACATGACTGATGCTCAGAAAACACCTCTGCACTAATATATAAATCCATTCACATTGTGCTGATACATCCATAAGGATTTTCATTATCACAGCCTCTTTCATTCAGTCCAGCAAACATGAGTATCTATCTGTAATATGCTTTGTACTCTACACTGGAGATATAAAAATGGGTCAGACATGGTTTCTGTCCTAAATAGTATATAATAACAAACCTATACAGATAAACATTGAGTTGTATGCCCAGAGGTGTACAAATACACACTTCTAACCCTACAAACATATCAGTGCATGTACACCCACTGATGGGTGTATATAAAAACAGAGCTGCTCATTCATAAATTTCACAAGTTCTCATACATTTGATAATTGGAGGAGGATCTCCATTTTCCTGTTTTTCCTTTATCAGGTTTTTCATCTCCTTTCAAATTCTAAAATTGATTTCATTTTGCAATTCCATTATTTTCTTATTACTTGCGTTTAAAAATTTATTACTTTTTCTTTAAGATGAATTATTCCACATGGATAAACTGAAAAAAAAAATGATACCTTTCCCAAGTTAAAAATAAGTAAAGTACCCTTTCAGGAATGAAATCTGTGTTTTTATACTCAGTTGGTACAATGAAAAGACTGTCAATTTTTATTTATTAATACTGTAATGATGTCTTTCTTACAATGGACATTTTGATCATGAAATATAAAATCATTCCATTCTTTATTGCAGGTATTTGAAGAAAGAAGAGCTTTGCTTGGAAAATGGGTAACCATTTAAGATATAGTTACTTCGATATTGTATTATGTCCCATTATCATAGAGCCCAGAGAATTCAGTTTGAACATAAAGTAATAACTGAACACTTATTGTCTGAGAAATTTGACTGATATCCTCTGTGTGTATCACAGAGACTATAGGGTTTTATACTCACAAAGTAGGGTTCCATCTCGCACAAAACAGGGTTCAGAAAGGTGAGTTTGGATATGAGATGACCACTTAGTAACCAGCACAGTTCATCCATTAGGCTATGTAGCATCCATCTACACCCTTCTACCTCTACTTAAATTTCCAAAGGAAAACTATAATATAACAACTTTATGCTTTTAACAAGATACCACTATTCTTTACACAACCGAAAACCTTCTCACCCTTTCCTCAAAGGAGACACAGAGTCCCAGTGGTCCTTGTCCTCCTTCCCTGGGTCATGATCGATCTCTGAGCAGTGTTTACTACTCATCAAATTCCTCTGAACCCCACCTGTCTCTGCGGCCCAAGAGAATTGAAAACATACGGTCGTGCAAAAATGTGTACATGAATGTTAATAGCAGCATTATTCCTAATAGTCAAAAAGTGTAAATACTCAAACAAAATGTGGTCTGTTCTTTTTTTTTTTTATTTTTTTAATGTTTGTTTATTTTTGAGAGAGAGAGACAGAGTGGGGGGAGGAGCAGAGAGAGAGGGAGACATAGAATCCCAAATAGGCCCCAGACTCTGAGCTATCAGGCACAGAGTCCCATGCAGGACTCAAACCCACAAACTGTGAGATCATGACCTAAGCCAAAGTTGTACACTTAACCAACTGAGCCACTCAGGCGCCCCAAAATGTGGTCTATTCTACGGTAGAATATTATTTCGCCTTAAAAAGGAAGGAAATCTTGATGCCTCCTACAACATGGATGAACTTTGAAGGTAATATGCTAAGTGAAAGAAGCCAAACACAAAAGGACAACTATTGTATTGATTCTACTTATGTAAGGTATCCAGAGTAGTCAGATTCATAGAGACAGAAGGTAGAATAGAGATTACCAAGGGATGAGGAATTATTATTTAATAGGTACAGTTTAAGTTTGGGAAGATGAAAAAGTTCTATAGATTGATGGTGGCAATGGTCACACAACAATGTAAATGCACTTAATGCCATAGAACAGTACACTTAAATGTGGTTAAAATGGTAAGTTTTATGTTACATTTATTTTGCTAAAATTTTTAAAAGGTAAGAACATCTTTAAATTTTTTTAAAGGTAAGAGAAGGGAATAAAGTACTGATACATACTACAACATGGATGAACCTTAAAAATAATATGCTAAAATAAATTATTTTTAAAACAAGAAAATAAAAGGGGCGCCTGGGTGGCTTAGTCGGTTAAGCGTCCGACTTTCACTTAGGTCATGATCTCGCGGTTCGTGGGTTCGAGCCCCGCGTCGGGCTCTGTGCTGACTGCCAGCTCAGAGCCTGGAGCCTGTTTCAGTTTGTGACTCCCTCTCTCTCTGACCCTCCCTTGCTCACGCTGTCTCTCTCTCTCTCTCTCCTAGAAATAAAGAAAACATTTAAAAAATAAAATAAAATAAAATAATATGCTAAGTCTGGAGCACCTGGGTGGCTCAGTCAATTAAGCATCCAACTTTGGCCCACGTCATGATTTTGTAGTTTGTGAGTTCAAGCCCCACGTCGGGTTCTGTGCTGACACCTCAGAGCCTGGAGCCTGCTTTGGATTCTGTGTCTTCCTCTCTGTCTCTGTCCCACCTCCCTTGAAAAATAAATAGACATTAAAAATTTTTTTAAATAATATGCCAAGTAAAAGAAGCCAGACATAGAGACCACGTATCATATGATTCCATTTATGTGAAATGTCCAGAATGGGCAAATGCATAGAGACACAAAACAGATTAGTGGTGTCCAGGAGATGGGGGACTAACTGTAAAGTGTACAGGTTTTCTTTGGGGGAGAGAATGAAAATGTTCTGGAGGTGCCTGAGTGGCTCAATTGTTTGGGCAGCAGACTCTTGATTTTGGCTCAAGTGGTGATCTCACAGATTTGTGAGACTGATCCCCATGTGGGGCTCTGCCACTGACAGCAAAGAGTCTGCTTAGGATTCTCTTTCTCCCTCTGTCTCTGCCCCTCCTCTGCTCGTGCTCACTTTCTCTCTCTCTCTCTCAAAATTAATAAATACATATTGAAAAAAGAAGGGCACTCTCTTTTGAATGTCTCCTCTCTGTAAAGAAAGCTTTCCTACTATTCTTCCTTTCTAATCTTATACTCTAGTAAACTTTTGCCTACTGCTCAAAAAATAAATAAATAAATAAAGTTCCGGAATTAAATAGTACTGATGGCTATACAACCTTTTAAATACACTAAAAGCCACTGACTTGTACACTTAAAATGCCGAATTTTATGGCATGTGAATTATATCTTAGTTTAAAAAATAAATCAGGATTACTTTAAAAAAATTATACTTAGACTCCTTTAACTCTTGTTATATGTAGTAAACTTGAAATACCCCATCTTTAAAGCATACAGTCAACACTTTTTCCTTAAGGGAGCATCTCTGACTGGAATGTAGCTGGACAGGATGCCGTTTCCTATAAGTTACTGAAACTCATTTTCCTAAGTGTCTTAGGAAGGTTTGGGCTGCTATAACAAATTACATCATATATAAATGGCAGAATTTTATTTCTCACAGTTCTAGAGGCTGGGAAGCCCAAGGTCAAGTCATGGGCAGATTCGAGTCTGGGGAGAGCCCACTTTCTGGTTCATAGATGGCCATCTTTTCACTGTAACCTCATATGGCAGGAGCTGGGAGGGAGGTCTCTGGGGTCTCCTTTTTAAGGACACTAATCTCATTCATGAAGATTTCACCCTCATGACCTCATCACCTCCCAAAGGCCCCACCTCCTAGTACCATCACCTTGTGGGTTAGGTTTCACCATATGAATTTTGGAGGGATACAAACATTCAGTCCATTGCACCAAGACTAACATAAAATACTATGTCTTAAGGTTCTTATTTGTCTTAGTTGATCACCAGTTCTTTTTTGTGTTTGTCTACAAGTTTCTGTCTAGGATATTAATTAGCTTAAGTACATGTTTAAAAATTATATACATAGTATATCTGGAAGGATGCACAGGAAAAGAGGCAACATTGGTTTCCCCTAGGAAGAACAGTGAGTCTGGGACAAAGTGGAAGGGACTCATTTAGCTGAATAGCCTTTTGTACCTTTTGATATTTTTAACCATGTAAATGTATTACCTATTCAGAATAATTATAAAATTTTGTAAAATAAGTATGCTAAAAATTAAGAAATGAAAAACACCAAAAAATTTTTTTAATTTAATTTAATTTTTTTTTACAAATAGTTTATTGTCAAGTTGGTTTCCATATAACACTCAGTGCTCATCCTCACAAGTGCCCTCCTCCATGCCCATCTCCCCCCTCCCCCCCCCACACCCATCAGTCCTCAGTTTGTTCTCATCATTCAAGAGTCTCTCATGGTTTGCCTCTCTCCCTCTCCCCCACCATTTCCCCCCTTCTTCTCCCCCATGGTCTTCCTTTAAGTTCCTCCTAATCCTCTTATAAGTGCAAACATATGATATTTGTCCTTCTCTGCCTGACTTATTTCGCTCAGCATAACACCCTCAAGTTCCATCCATGTTGCTACACATGGCCAGATTTCATTCTTTCTCATTGCCGTGTAGTATTCCATCGTATAGATAAGCCACATCTTCTTGATCCATTCGTCTGTTGATGGACACTTAGGCTCTTTCCATGTTTTGGCTATTGTTGAGAGTGCTGCTATGAACATTGGGGTACATGTGCTCCTATGCATCAGCACTCCTATATCCCTTGGGTAAATTCCTAGCAGTGCTATTGCTGGGTCATAAGGGAGTTCTATTGTTACTTTTTTGAGGAACCTCCACACTGTTTTCCAGAGGGGCTGCACCAGTTTACATTCCCACCAACAGTGTAGGAGGGTGCCCGTTTCTCCACATCCTTACCAGCATCTAGAGTTCTCTGATTTGCTCATTTTAGCCACTCTGACTGGCGTGAGGTGGTATCTCAGTGTGGTTTTGATTTGTATTTCCCTGATGAAGAGGGATGCTGAGCATCGTTTCATGTGTCTGTTGGCCATCTGGATGTCCTCTTTGGAGAAGTGCCTGCTCATATCTTCTGCCCATTTCTTTACTGGGTTGTTTGTTTCTCGGGTGTGGAGTTTGGTGAATTCCTTATAGATTTTAGATATTAACCCTTTTTCTGATATGTCATTTGCAACTATCTTTTCCCATTCCATTGGTTGCCTATTAGTTTTGTGGATTGTTTCCTTTGCCGAAAAACACCAAAAATTTTAAATCAGGCAGAGCTTTTCTCATATCCTATTTACATTTTAAAACAAACTTCATGGGGCATCTGGGTGGCTCAGTCAGTTAAGTGTCTGACTCTTGGTTTCAGCTCAGGTCATGATCTCACAGTTTGTAATTTCAAACCCTACATCAGGCTTTATGCTAACAGAACAGAGCCTGCTTGGGATTCTCTCTCTCTCTCTCTCTCTGCCCCACCCCTGCTTGTGCTCTCTCTTTCTCTCTCTCCCTCTCTCTCTCACACTCTCTCTCAAAAATAAACAAAATTTTTTAAACTAACTTCATATCTGTTACCAACAACTTAAAAAAAAAGACTTACTTAGAATAACTGTTTTTGCACTGTCATTCCACGTGGAAATCCCTGAATTAATATAATCAAGGCTAATGTTCAGCCAATATTTGGTGTGACCAGCTTTTGGCTGGGTGGTAGGATTGCCAGTTGTTGAGTATTTTTAATATCACCTTTGTGTAAAATTCAAGGTCTTTAAACTTTTTAAAAGATCTTGTTTATTCTTTTCTTTTACCATAGCTAATAGAAATATATTTGCAAAGATCACTAGTTATCTCTCTTCAATAGACTAATTTATATAGAGAAGGCATAGTTCTATACGTTGCTCTTGTACATTTCTTGAC